CTGAGTTAAAAAATCTAAAGCCACTAGAAAAAAAGTAAAATCCTAATGCTTAAGACATTGCTGATTACAGAAAATATTTCCTGGAATAGGGACTCAGCTTTGTGATCCCAAGCAATGGAAAATACAGTATGACATATCTTAGCACCAAAATGGAGCCCTTGAGACTATATTTATCCACATGTAAAAAAGCTGGTTTTAATGGTGTTCAGTTGCAGCATGTTCTTCTCTTTTTGGCACTTGAATTTGGAAATAGGAGGAACAGTCTGAGTTCATCATTCTCCAGAAATACTGCACCAGAAAAGCAAAAAGTATTTGAAGTACCCTGATGGTACTGAGCTTCTAAAACACTGAGATGGCACTTCAGCTCTGCCAAATTCAATTTTGTGCCCTGAAAAGACCAAGACAGGCTTTTCAGGTGACCAAATATTGATTATGGCAGCCCAACAGTGTCTGGTTTGCCTTCCAAGAGCTGAGATGGTATTTACTCCACACCACATGACTGGGGACTGCGAAAGGTTGAAGGTGAAAGCCAAGGAATGGTGACTTTCCAGGTTAAGGCAAATTAGCTGTTTACCCAAAGTGAATGGGTTTTAGGTGTCTAACTTAATGAGAAACTTTGTACATCCTACCAGCCATTCAAACACCTCTGACAGTGTGGGTCAGGCCATCTCAGCTAGGACATGCATCTGCTAGATGCTTCACTAAGGACAGGGTGTGTAACCATTTGCCCTGATTTCAGTGGTTACTGAGGGCACACAGCATTTCTAGGAGGTTCTCTGTACCCTGCAGGACCAAACTATCAAGGGCTATTGCATATGATTAACACGGTGGAGCCGGAGACCCTGAAATCATTCTCAGAGCTGAGAGGCCATCATGCCTCTGAGAGGTAGAAAAAGCCAAGGTTTGGTCATCCTGGCATGGAGAAAAAAACAGGAGTGTGGATGGCAGCTGTGTTTTTGAGGTGGAAAGGGAAGAAGAGCTCTGAAACCAAAGAGAGCATGTTTTTTCAATGTGGGAAAGGAGCATCCATGACAGCAGGAAGAAGGCAGGACAACCAGCCCGGGAATGATGGACATCCCCCTAAATTAATGTTTTAATCCAATTTCAGAGACTGGTGTGGTGGGCCTGTGGACTGGGAATGGGCTGATTCTGTCACGGTAAGTGGTGTGGGGATTGGGAAGGGAGCAGGGACCTGCCCTTGGGTCTGTTTAACCGGATTGAGTGCAAGCTCTAAAGAAGCCAGCACAAATGAAGATAAGCAGGCACTACACACTCTTCAACCCCCTACTTTTGCTCTAGAAATGCCCATCCTCGGTTATATGCCTGAAGAGAGGCCAGTAACAGGTGCCTGTGCACCCTTCTTGTGGGAGCAAAGTGGTCTGTGTGAATGTGCTTAAGTTCAGCATCCAACAGCCCGAAAGCAACAGCAGGGTTGCTCCTTAGCCCTTGGTACCAGTCTTGAATAATCATGAGTTCAGCACTTCATAGTGGTGGCCTTTTGTAGCTGATAACACAATAAACTTCAGGCCTGGATGCCAAATTCAGAACAAGGAAGGGAAAAGATGTGGCTTCACCAATGCCATCGGTGTATCTGCTAAGTTGCACCAGCTCTGAATTTAACTCAGAACCAGGGCTGGACCAAAAAAAAACTTGCAGTGGCTTGTACTTCTACATTGCAAAGTAAAGTGATATTTTACACTAGCAAAATCGGTTTTCCAATATCTCCTTTGAAGTACATTACTGCAAAGCCTTGTTAATGTTCCAGAGTTGAAGTCCAGGCAAGAGTAAGTAGTTTCTTCTGATCTTTGCTCAAGCTGTAAGTGACAACCTGAGCATACTGTGCAGTTAAACTATGCACAGTCCATTTTCCACTTGCTTAAGAAATTGTCTAAGAAGTTCAGCTCCAGCTTTTCTGGACGGCAATCAGTGCAACAGACAACAGTACCCCAATCCCCTATTTCTTCCCAACCTGCAGACTAAAACAAGTAATAAAGCATTTACCACCCGAAGTAATTTTAGGATAAAGATTTCAGGTTATCATCTCCGAAAGGACAGAGAGTGATAAATGAGGCGACACTGAAGAACAATAAATTGAAAGACAAATGGTGAGGAGAAAGACACCTGAGGAAATAAAAGAGCTGGCGCAAGCTAAAATTAAAACTCTTTTTTTGTTGTTGTTTAATAGGTGAGTTTTAAATACGATTTAACTTCCCTGAACAATCAGTAAAGACTCCCATGTGCTGGGCTCAATGCTTCACCCATCCCCTGCTTGGCCAACATCAGAGCTGGTTGCTCTCACAGTCTGAGGCTGTCTGCTCCCCGACCATGCCTCCATGAGTAGTTAGCTGCCATAAGAATATCTACAGTTACAAGGCTGATGGAGAAAACAATGACATTTTTGCAACATGTCCCAGGAAGCGTTAAATGTCTCTGACAAATCCCAGCAGCCAGAAACTCCAAGAACATCAGAGCAGCAAAGGATGCTCAGAAAAACATGGACATGATGAGTAAAGGATCAGTGCTGGGATGCTGTTCAACAAACAGCCATTCTGCTTCCCTTCCTTGAAATGTCCTCATAGGCCGCTTCTCCTGACAGCAGTCTTTTGGGAGATACCTCCTGTTGACAGATGTTATACCAGTCATTGGAGAGACTGGGCTGAAGCAAGGAGGAGCTGGGAGAAGCACCCTCCCTGTTTTTCTCAGCTGTACTCTCATTCTGCTGGGCACAATCCTTTTGTATTCAGAGACGAAACACGCAACAACATTTTTAGGGGACCCTTAGAGGGATCCAAAGTAGTTATCAAACCAGTTGTATGGACACAGTCCACTGCTACCGTCAGTAGGAAATACAGTCTAAAACCCAGTTTTTGAATGTCTGGACCAATACAGAACCCTATTCCTGGATTTCTGAGAAACAAAATAAAACCATTTGATGCAGAGGTGATTACTTTTCCCTTCAGTTGATTAAAACTTGAACAACAAGATCTTCAGTACAAGACAACAGCTGAGAACAGATCCAGTCCTGCTGATCTCCCACGTAAGAAAATTTTGATGAAGTTTCAGGAGTTGGCAGGATCTGGCCCAGCCTGCAGCGGTTGCACCCATCGCATTCCTCAGTGGCAAATCAGAAAACTCAGTGAAAGAGAGACTATAAAGTCCCCAGTGACACATGGCAACCGGAGTCAATGCTTCTTTCCTGACACATTCCCTAGGGCAGATACAGATGTAGTCCAGAATATTCATTTCTGAGGCTTTCCTTCTTTAATCCAAAGAACTTAAGGAGGAAACTGATGAAGGAGAAAGCAGCAGCTATAGCCTGGTGTTGGTCAATAGGCTTTTCTGAGCACACGGTGGTCAGCAGGATTATCTGATCCAAGTTTGCTGTCACCATATGGTAAGTGCTTGAGGTGGGGGTTATCTGGCCATCAGCACTGCCTTCAGATTTAGGGCTATGAATGGCATTTCTTTTTGAAGAGGTCTTAACTGAGTGGGCTTTGGCATCACAGCATTGTAACAGAGCTGTGTATGATTTCCAAGGTGGGTTCCCCGAGACCAGGGAACAGGAGTCTGTTCACGGTTTGAGAACAAAAATCTGCTGAAGTCAGTGATTTCCTACGAAAACAGGCTAAATCTCAGCACTAACTATCCAATTCACTTTTTGCAAGGAGGGATTCACTTGCACCTTAAAGTCAGAGCAAAATTCAGACTTGGTCCCAGTTTTGTTCTTGGTCTTGGGAGACTTTTATACCAATGTGATGCTGCCAACCTCTGCTGAATTACAGCAAATCCAGGCTCAACATGTGGGACTAATGGGGTCACATATCCCAGAAACGTAAATGGGAAATACTTCTGCTATAAATACAGCTGAGGCAAACCCAAGGTGTCCAACCCATTTCTTCAGCCCCCTGGTGCTTACTCTGCTTGGCACAAAGCAAGTCCCTAGTTTCACTGGCCAGGGTGGAACTGGGACAATCTGGGAGGTTTATATAGACTGCATTGGGTCAGATCCTCAGCTGGTCTAAATTACTGTGGTGTACACAGCCTGAAAACATTGATGCTTTTTATTCTCACCTAGCAACCAGACTCATGAAGGTGCAAATGAAACCAGTATTCACTCAACAGCTTCATCTGAAGAGCCTTTTTTTTTCACCCCATGGGGCTCAAAGTCAGGTCTTTAAAGTGACTTGGATTTAACAGGATGGGCTTGACTATGAAAGCTTTCATGCATGTTCCTGTACAAGAATGCAGTACTGCACAGACGCCATCACAGAGACATTCAGCTCACTGTGCACAGCCAGCGCGGCTCAGGACGTGTTATTGCACACTAGGTTGTTGCACCCCTGTCAGTTTGCTGCAGCTTCGTCTGATATCATACAGAGACCGTGGGTTGAGTCCTCTTTTATAAATCACTCAGGAATAACAGACAGTGTATGACTGGTATAACACTTTTTCCTTTTGTAAGACTGGAGAGGTGGGAGAAAAAAAAAGCCCATTGATCACCAAGATCAAATTTGCAGTAAACCCCAGGTAATGCTACAAATGATCACTTACATTTCAATATGAAAGAAGTGTGTCAGAGTTGGCTAAAAGAATTGTTCATGTCCAGAAACTGACCTAGACAAACCATCATCATCCAGAAATGTCCGACCCTTCTTCTTGGGAATGTGTCTGCCATCGGTAGCTTTGTTTTAACAAATGACAAACCATCTGATCCATGCTGGCCTTGCACCACGGTGTAAGGGGTTTATGAGGCTCATGAGGAAAGATGCCAGCAGTCCTTCAGTGTGCTTTACAAGTACAGAAAAATTAGTTCAATTTGTTGCTAGCTTTTTCTTGTCTTTTTTTGTTTCCTTCCGTACAGATTAATTCCCAGTGCTTACAATTCCACATCATCTTGGAAAAGGGAGAGGGGAAAAAAAAAAAACAAAACCTTGAACAAGTTGAAATGTTAAAAAAGAGAGGGAACAAGAAGGAGAACAGAAAGAAATGGAGAAGTGCAGTCAGTTGGCATATTGTGCATAGAAAGCAACTTTTACTCGCTCGATCTGGTGACACAGTTTGATGGCTGGACCAAGCTTCAGCTCCATGCACTCCTGCACTGTGGGCAGTGTCAGCAACAGAAGGGCTTGGCCATCAATGTCCTGGGGAAGAAAAAGACAGGGAAAATGGTTTTGTTTGTGGTCTCTGGAGGGCAGAAAGCATAACCAGGTCTGGAGAAGCAAGAAGGGAAGAATGTCCCAAAAATTAAAGGTGGTTTTGTCCTCTGCCCTTTCCTCTCACTTTGATGCTGCCCATCTCCTTCTTCTGGGATACCTGATGCTTTTTCAGAATTTGTCTAGTGTGTCTACACAGGCTCTCACCTTGCCCCCAGTTTGGGAAAAGCCTCCCAGCTGCTGAAATGCTGGGTAACCTTCTACAGAAACTCTGCAGGGTCCATGAAGATCTGATTAGTCCCATTTTATGACTGAGGAACTGAGGCAAGGGGGAGGCTGCAGACAACACACCAGGAAACACAGGAGGGAGCAGAATCAAGAAACTGAAGCTAGTCCCACTGCCAAGTCAGACCCTTCCCCGACCTCTTCTGGAACACGTGAAGCCCTTGCAATCTCTTATGTCACAGAATCACAGAATGGTGTAGGCTGTAAGGGACCTCTGGGGGTCACATCCTTACCTGAGGCGTATTTATGCACCAAAGTCCATGAACAAGTGCCCCAGATGAAAGCCATTTTACTAGGGTTTTCTGTTGGCTTTATGATCCTCTTCTTAATTAAGAGCTCAAGTCCTCTTTACTCTTTAATGGACTGAGAAGCAGATGAGCAAGCTACAAAACTGCTTTTTACCCCTTAGGGAGGATCAGAGCCTAAGTGCAGAAAAAGCACTGTAACTCACAGGCAACATAAACTCCCCAGGACAGCCCTGATTAGGTAGCATTAAAGACAAGGAGGATTTGGGCACCTTAAGCACTGCTTTGATCAGGACTGTCCACGGCTTAGGTTCTTCCTCCACTGAAGCTTGATGGCATGGCCCATTGCACCAGAGCTTCCTTGCAAATCACAAGGAAAAGCTCCAGTCATCTGTGTTTGATTAAAGTCCCCATAAAACTCTTTGGCAAAGGAGAGACAGGGTTGGCTTTCAAGCCCTGGCATTGTTCCAGGCTGATTAACAAACAGACGGAGCACACTGCGGATACAGTGAATACAGCATCTTGCTATAGAGTGTTTCAGCCTTGCTCTAGACTTGCACTTCAACTTCTCCCAGCCAAAGCAGCTGTACTTGGGTACAGTTATTCATGGTGAAGAATCAGAGAATGTTCAATGTGCAGTGGCCATACCACTGACCGTCATCAGCTATGGCCCAATTAACCGCACTTGCTCCTTTCTAACTATGATTTCTTAGTGCTGCCCTTTACTTTCAGCAGCGGCTGTTACTCATTAGCCAAGGAATGGCTGTTTCTATATAAATTTTACACGTTCACAGTGACTTGAGAGGAAGAGCATTGGCTTCTGCTCCTGCAAACCTAACCGCTTAATGGGGAGATGCTTGGCATCTCCTAATATTAGGTCATCCAAAGATCTGACTGCCAGATCTTCAGAGCAATGTAGATGGGAAGTAGGTGTCTACATACTTGAAGCATCTAGGTGTTAGTGACAAAATTCAGACAGCCAGTTTTGGGTTCAAGCAGCAGTTTTCTGCTTTGCAGGCCAATATTTTAAAACTGGGTGGAACCCATGTGGCCAGGAGAGAGAGCTTGCTAGGTTTCTCACTATCTGTTGGTATACTGAGGTGCCTGTGTGACACCAGGATGGTGCTGTGGACCTTGGCATGAACAAGAACGTTCTAAACCTCCTACTTTTCACAAGCACCGCAGCTGGGTTGTTTCTGGTCTCTCTGAGGATCTGGCAAGGCTCTGATTCAAGTTTCTGCGGGTTTTCATGCCTTGTCAAAATTTGTGCTATAGCTTGGCCTGAGGGGATCTAAAGTCTGATCATAATCCTTTTGTCAAAGCCCAGGGCCCAGCTAGCAAGGTGGTATGTGACTAAGCATCACAGACACAAAGAGAAGAATTACATGAAGACCTCTACCTGCTCCTGAAATATTTTGGCAAGGGGAGCACAGTCGGTCAGTTTAATAAACCTCACAACATCAGTTACGGTCCACTCCAATGGATTACTGTCCAGGATGAGCTTCTCTTCCTCTTCTTGCTTAATTTCCTACAAAAAAAACAAAAGCTCTCATAAAGAAAACTACCTTGTGTGGAGAACCAGGGCAAGGATGCCCTCCTCAGATGAGGAAGGCTTGGCACTGAAGGTTAATTTATGAGGAATATTGCTATTAAGTGGGAGTGAAAGCCTATGGGCGTACTCACCTCCTTGACTTGCATGCACTTCTCCGCCTCGCCGTAGGAGTGGGTCTGTGGTCTTCGGCTCCGTCGGGTTCTCTCCGTGGGAGGAGGTCTGTCCGACTCGGTGCTGCTCCGCAAGGTGACCGCTCGCCGGGGCCTGGTGGAGGGGACCTCGGCAGAGGAGGTGTCTGTCTGGTCATCCCGGAGCTCTGAGCTGGTTTCCTCACTTCCCGTCTCGTCCTCCATTGCGTCCGGCTCATCATCTTCACTCTCCTGCACAAGGACCATCAGAGAAACAGCATCCAGGCTCAGAGATTAATACAGCAGCAAATCGAAAGGCACTGGGTCAAACTGCATGCCCGTGCCCATGCTGGTCCAGGGTAACATTTATTTTAACAAAATTATCTCATTTTCATTACAGTCCAAAGTAGATTAGCCCTCAATTTAGATTTGTCACAAAATACAGAATAAAAAGCTACACAATGGGCAAATCCTTTTTCTGTTTCTAACAAAAGGTCAACAGCAATAACTCATCTGGCATGAAACGTTCCTCTGTTGGGCTGGTATCTCAAACCTTGTGGCACTACAGATGTGCATGAGAAAGGGAAATGGAAAATATAAAAATGATAAAATGAAACTCAGGTTGTTTGAGATGAAATAAAACCACAACTAGGTTTGAATTGAAACCTTCACGTTGCTTCAAATTATCTTGGGTGTTGCTGGTATTGAAATGAAGGAAATTTTGGTGCCTTTTAAAAATATCTAGATGTACAAGTGTATACTTGTACTTGATTTCTTAGCTGGTATTTCCGTAAAACCCAGGACAGACAATTTCACCCAGTTTTCCCTGCTTTCAGCCCAACACCAAACTGCCGAAGGTGAAGCACAAATTGCCATTTAAAGGATGTTATACCAGATTCTTGTTATTTCTGTCACACAGAGCTTGCAAGCACAGACCAACTGAGAGAAACTGTGTATTTTGACCTTTATATTTACATAAGTGGCCCAAATGGCTTCGACAGCTTAGCTCTGATCAAAGTGTGAATGTGCATCTCAGCCATATGCTCAGTGAAAGAGCAATTTTAGACAAACTTAGTTATATTGGCCGAAAGGTTGAAAAACTTGGCTAATGGTTGATGTAGGTTTAACATGAGTTTATTTCAGTTTAAATTCATTTGAAGCAGGTATAATCTAAGGAAATGAAGCAGAACTGCACCTAAATGAGGACTAAGTCATGAAAATACAAGCAATCAACTGAAAGCTGCCTAAAATATCCCCCTCCAGCTGAAGTACAGGGAATTTAAGTAAATCAGTTTTATTTCACATTGCACAAAACAGCAATTGCTGGCACTCAGCTAAGGAAGGGAAACCACATATTAACTTTATCATTACTGTCATGGGAAAACCACCTGGTAACGGTCCACACAGAACTAAGTCTGCTCCAGATTGTACTTGGACATGAAACATTGCTGAAGCTGGGATCCCGTCATATTACACAGCATACAGGAAAGATTGAGGCCTCAAATACCATATATTTGGGACACAAACCATTTGCTTGCTTTCTAAAGCTTCTAGAACATCTATTGTTTGATGTTGTGAACCAAAAATATTATGAATGGTTAATGAAAAAATAGAAGCCGTTGAAGCCATAATGGCCTGAGTGTTATTTTTATTTATTATAATATTTAGAGATCTTAGACATGGATCACAGACCTCCTTCACTCTCCTAGATGTTGCACAATGCATCTAACAGGTTCATCTGCTTATAAGGAAGCAAAAGAAAAGAAAAATATAAAATTAGACAGGACATTAGCTAGTAGGCATTACAAAGGTGGAAGCAAAAACTCTACTTGCTAACTCTAAAATTGACAAGGGTAAAAGTCCCCAAAGTGTCCCAATAAAACCAGTCTGACCATAGAAGAACAGAGTAGCAAGGTAGTATTCAAAATGGAAAAAGGAAGGGTTGAGGTTTGCTGAGAAGTCCCTCAAAAAGGAAGATGCAGATGAGGGGGACAAAAAAAGCATCAAGGGGCTTTTGCTGATTTATCCCAGTGCAAAAAATACCTCTGCAGAGCCTGCAGCATTCAAATCAACAGCTGACGACCTCCTTTTTTTCTGCACAAAGATGGATTTCCGCCTTTTTCTGCGTCTGGCTGGCTTGACGTGTCCACTTTTCATGTTGTTGTTTTCCCCGATTGGTGGCTTAATGATTTTTTTCCTCTTCCCATAATAATAAGCTGGAGGAATGAAGCAAAACACCCGTTAAAAACTTTAACCACCAAGAGAAGGAAACTTTGGCTTGCTTCTTGCTACTGATTCAGTACTGCATTCTAGGTGCACTTTTACAAAAACTTTAGAATACATTGATTTGGGAAAAATGTACAGTGTAAATATAAGATGTCACCTTACACTCGCACAGAGTGTTACAGCTCTTATGTATACGCATTTATTGGTGATGAGTGAGGAGTTCAGAATTTAACCCTAAGATTAAGTACATATGATTAACCTATGATTAACCTATGATTAAGTACATAACCCTCAGATATGTACTTAGGCAAAGCTTCCACTCAGCCGAGCAGTGATTTGGAGGGAGAGAAGCCAGCGTATTTTAGATTTGATCCAATGCCTTTCTGCATGAGTTAACAGTCTTATATACACTTTGACTTGCTAATGGTTTCAGCAGAGAGTGGAGAAGGACAGCTATCCTGAATTATATATGTTCATTCAACGTACAAAGGTATGGGGTTTTATTACCTTTGACTATTTTGTGGCCCAAGTTGAAATTAAGGACATAAGAGTCCTCTGACCTTGCATTAGGTGCTTGTGCTAGATGCTTTTTTACACATTCGCCAGCATCCTCTGGGACTGACAGATATTCTGCCCTTCACTAGCTAGGGTGTCCCAGGACAACTAAAACGGCACTTGGCGCCCATGTCAAAGTTTGTAACTGAACTGAGCCTTTCATCACATCAATGGAGTTTTGAGGAACAATTCATCCAGCCACATGCAATTATCAACTTCAATATGAGACAATCTCAGCTGGAGCTCCCCTAGCTGTACTCCTCCAGCCCTCCAGTGCTCTCTCTTGCTACCAGTAGGAGCTTAGGTGTAGACTTCTACAGAAACCCATATTCAGTGATCTGAATATCTCCCTGAGCCCATTTCTCCTTCTACTCTGGCACCAAACAGCAAGTAATTAGTTTAAATCAATCATATTGGTTTCTTGCAACCTTTGTGGAAGAAGGACGGCACTCACTTCCACTTTTCTGACCTCTTTAAGAGCCAATAATAGCAGTAATATTGACAACCAAAAGTGCTGAACACACGCCTAACTTCAGCCTTCCTGAATGGGTAGGAACATGTTTAAATATTAAACACCTTGATCAGAGAGAGTCAATGCTACCAAACTCCTTCCAGCACCTGGGCACTGTGATAGTGGCCTGTGCCGGTGTGTATGCCATAAACTCTTCGCTGAGTAGGACAGGATTCATCTCACCTAATGAAGGTGTCTCAGATGTAGCAGTTCAAATCTCAGCTGGCCACTGCAGGTGTCTGTTATGTGCACCTTATATTAACTTTACATATGAGGAAAAGTCACGACTTTCAAAGAGTAATGACTTTCAAACAGATATATTAGGATGGAGTGAGATGGACAGTTTTCAGGAGATGCCTATTTCTCTGTACAGAATACTAAGGGAGCCTATGGTGGCCCAGTAGGATTAAGTAACTGCTCTTAGATGAGATGAATCCTACTCAATATTAATTTATTACACAACTCCTGTTCTTCATCACTAGCTCATGCAGTCTCCCACTGCTCCAATTGCCAGCTAGCAACAAGAAGCATTTTGGCCAATACTCACTGTACTTGGTTTTAGTATGAATGGAGCAATTCTCTGGGCAGACTTCAGTCACCAGAACTGGACTGAACAAGTTGGGGCAGCACTCCAACTTTGCACAGACTCTTCTGCAGAAATCCGCTACCTGATCCGACGTTCGCACAATCTTAACAGTCGCCCTGTATGTCTTCCCTCTGTATCTAAAAAAAGAGTAAAAGACCCCATGTCACCAATCAAGTGATGTCCTTCGATGCTACAAACCAGACTCTCCTCTGTTGGGGAGATATCTTCCCTAATGACTTTTGGAAGAGTGTCTCTCTTGGGAAGGCAGGTGGAAGAGGTCTACTTGGTTTAGTGGCTCCATTTCAGATGGACTTGAGGAAGGAAAGGCAGAGTGAAATGATCCTGGAATCAGAGGTGTGGACATGATTTGGGGAGGAATGCATGTGCAGACTGGATATATCTGTAGATATGGCAAGAGAAAAAATCACAGTAGGCTCAGTGAGGATACTGCACAGGACAGCAAGCTCATACTACGAACTGATGCAAAGTTTTGGGGAGAGGGATGTAGTCTTTCTTCATATATTGACCTGTGATGAGACGCTTGTATGCCTTGAAGAGCTTTCTGGTCACCACCCTGTGTTTGGGCTGCACTGGAGACTGTCTCCATAAGACCCCAATACACCTTTGGTCTTCTCCATTGCCATCTTTCTCGAGGCAGCTCTCATATCACATTCCAGCTCACAAGTCCACAGTTTCATTGTGCTAACTGTGGTTACTGGGATGCTCACACTGTGTAGAAGTATCTGAGTGAAACTGTACTGTCTGCCATACGGGGACCAGATGACTTTACTGCTATGAGATGTGGGCAATGCAAAACCCAAGGAACCAGTCGGGACTCTCTTGAGCTGTTTAACAGGGCTGCGGGAACAGACGCTAAAAACTGATTCCTACAGGGAATATTTAGAGCAGAAATCTGCAATGAAAGGTTTGTCTTAAATTTGTTATCCATGTGCTACTAAAACATTTATTTCAGTGTTTTATATGAAGTGTTTCTGAGCGATAAATGGCTAAGAAAGATACAGTTACATCCCTGCTGTAATACATTGTAGATGTGAACTCTGAAAAACCAATTATCCCCATAATTTATTAAACAGCAGCACCAAGCTATTGTAAACAGTGAGATAAGGTTTTTAAAACATCTCTTACACGTCCTGAGGAATGCAACACAAGAGACAATCATGCAAGCGCCTGATGCTAAGGCATTATAAATGTGCTTAGAGTAGTGAAAAGTAACACACACAAAAGAAAAAGAGGGAGAGACAGTGAAAGAAAGATTACTGGATGGGAGGCAGTGAAAGACAAAGATACAGTCATCAGGAAAATGAGACAAAGCATTTGTGAGCGCATTAAGACCCACAGTTCCCTAGCAGGGAATCAGCTGCTGATTAAGTCAGATATGGAAGAGGAAGAGGAGGAGAAGGTGAAACAAAGGAGACGTGGCTGGAGAGTTAAAATATGCAGCATGCGCCTAGACCCTGTTTTCTCTCTGAAGGTTTTACTGAGTTGCACAAAGCAACTGAGAAACCACCTTTTGCTGTTCTCCCTCCCAAAAGTGTTTTCTGGGAACAGTGGGATATGGGAAAAGGGTTTGAAACTGTGGTACGTGAAGTGTTATAGAGGGCTACCCAAATGAAACTTGGGTCTGAGAACAGCCCAGTCCGACCATCCTCATGTCACAAAAGACTTGATCCAAATGATCACCTCAACACAAAACTCTTCCATAACCTAAATGAGCATTTCTGCAAGGCACCTGGCTCTGATATCCCATTTGGTGTCTGACCAAGGACCCCATGTCATGAAGACCATCCTGCATTCGTTCCTCTGAATGAATGAATGAATGACTTAATTAGCCAACTCTTCATGCACCCTGACAGACCTGGACAGATGATGTAAAATGGAAAAAGCATTTCTTCCAGAAACGGAGCACTGTTACCCCAGCTTCCCTATGAAATAGCTACACAGGCAGGCTGGCTAAAGGGGAGTTGGCAATAGCTAATATCAAAAGAACAAATTCCACAGGCATTTAAATATATCTACTTATAAATGGTTTATATTTCTTTTCAATGTGTTTGAAAAGACTCCTGTCCTTATTACTTCTCCAGGAGCCATTACGTTTAATGACCGTCTAGATCATTAGACCAGTAAATCTGACCCCTGTGACAGGCTGCAGAATTTCATCGTGTTACCTTCACCTGAACCCCAACAACTTTGGTTGGACTAAAGCATCACTTCCAGAAAAGCACCAGCCTACCCTTGAGGGTCTCCATACTGGAATAATCCTGGCAGCAGGAGCACCTGTACCTAGACCTCATGAGCCTATGCCTCATTTTATGTCTGGATTTAACTTACATTTATTTGTCCTTGTTCTGACTTTCACCACTAGGATGAAAAGACTGCATCTAGTTTTGTTTCCCTGCAAAAGCATTGCAATCAAATTGCCTCTTGATCTTCTTTCGTATAAGCTAAGAAAGCTGCCTGATGGGTATTATTCAAGGATGGCTGACTTCTGCTAACTGTGTGCTTCCTATTGTGTTTGGCCGCCTAGAAAGGACCCATTGCACTAAAGTGCCTGGTGAATTAAAAAGATGAAACCAGGAAAACGAACAACTGATTTCACAGTCTGGTTTGAATGCAATACCTTCTGCAATTAACAGAAAGGATGGCAAAATGGAGATCAACATGACTGCAGTCTCAATAACCCAAGGTGTTAGTACTGGCCGCAGTAGTATTTCTTACATTATTTTGGCTTTGGCAGCACTCTTTCAACTATAAACCAGGTTCTAGTAATATTTTCCATATTCCTCACACACTAAAGATTTTTAACACAAACACCACCAAAGGTAATATGAGCTGTTCAAGGACAGCCATGTGAAAAGAACTCCTTTGGATATAATCAGAAAACCCTTTTCCATTAGCATCGCTCAAAAAATTACCAACTACTGATATTTCTATTGATGTTTTCATACTAGGACTCCTATCTTCCCAACCACTTCTAAGCATTAAGTAACCTGCATGCACAGCATGGCAGCACTGAAGGCTTGGAAAACAGCTGTGTCAAGCATAACATTTTCAGTTTTCTTAGAAATCACTGTTCTTTAAAAAGAGATTTTTCAGCTAAAGCCAAAGAAATCTTCCTTTCCCCTCCCCCCTTCTCAGCCCTCAGATCCCAAAAACTGGAGAAACCTTTATGGCTGAAACTATTTCCATGAAAAATATACTCAGGATCTTTGCTGATCCATGAGCAACAATATTAAGCACTTTGCTGGCAATATCGTTCTTCTGCTGAAACTTCCTTTGGTGATAAAATAGATCAGAGGGTCATGAGAACAAAACGTCTTCTAGGAACTCCAGCTAGGGACCATTGTGTGATGATGTGAAAAGCCTCATGCTGAAGCCACTTCAAACAGCAAGAGCATTGAGACTACCCTCATTTTCAAAGGTCTCATTCACAGTTCTGACAATCATTCAGACTATTTTGAACAATTCAGTGGCTAAAAGCCTAAATTTCCTTTCAGGGGACCAAAACCTCCTATCTGTTCTTTTACAAGAAATTTCCTATTTGTCTTACTAGCTTAAAGTCTGCCAAACATGAGAAATCTCCAGGAAACACTAGCTACCCACAGCAAAAAACCAAGCTACCCACAGCACACAACCAAAGTCTCTCTCCATTGGGTCTACCAGAAGCAACTTACCAGTACAGCAGCAGAAATTGTCTAACATCCACTTCATTATGTTTGAATCGGACACTGCTTGTATGGGCCATTGCAACTGCCAATGACAGAAAACTCTAAAGTTTTCATCAAAACCCTGATACCCTTGAAGCTACTCAGTGTATCCTGAATACCAAGGATTTTGTAAATAATCTAAGTCTATGTAAAATCAATTAAAATGTTATAGTTATCTTCCTCCAAAGCTATTTAATCATCCAGTGATATTTTGTACTTTTGAAGACAGGATTCAGAAAGGGCCCTGGAATTGTTCTGGTTTTAAGGACATCTTGTAAAGGATTTAAGTCATTCCACTGGTGCTAATGACGTCTATCTCGAATATTTGGCATAGAAAGCCACACTAATTCACCATCGCAGTGCCTCAAGAAGTATTGCGGCAGAGCTGATGTAGAAGATGAAGCAGATTATATGAACTGTAGGTTTGTACTGACCTTGAGGAGCACCGTTAATAACTGGATGCCACTTGGACTTCATATCACTGGTTGCAACCCTTTGGATTCAGTTGTCCAGCCAACTTTCCACTCATCACGCACACACCCAATCCACATATCCACAGCTTGGCAATAAGGATGCTATGGGAGACTGTGCTGAAAGTTCTGCTATAATCAACATAAGTAACTTCCACTGCTTCTCCCTTAACCACTAAACCAGTTACCTCAGCACATCAGGCGCAACTCGCCCTTCATAAATCCATGCTGGTTCTTCCCAGTCACCTGTTGGTTCTGCATGTTCCTGGAAATGGCTTCCAGGAGGATTTGCCTAATAACCTTTCCAAGGAATGTTAGGCTGACAGCCTGTACTTACTTGGATTCTCCTTCTTGCCCTTTTTGAGGAAGAGTTTGATGTTTGCCTTTTTCCAGATATCAGGAATCTTCCCTTATCATCATCAACTTTCAAACATGACAGAGAGTGGTCGTGCAATCACATTGGCCAGTTCCCTCAAGCAGAGTTGGCTGCATCCCATCTGGTTCCGTGTAATTGTGCACATCCAGTTTGCTTATAGTGTCTCTAGCTTCTTTTTCATCTACTGTGGGTAACACTTCACCCCCTTGAACAATAACAGGGACCTGGGCGGCCTGAGAGCAACCCTCGCTAGCAAAGCCTGAGGCAAAGAAGACTTCAAATATCTCAGCACCACCTATCACAACTCAAAGGCATTCTTCTAAAGCATCCACAGTGAAAAGACTTTCTTTTAAATGCAGCTTCATAAACAAGCAATGGTGTCTGTCATGGGGGGTAAATATTCCTAGAGTTCAGCTACTGGATTTGGGCAGATCTAAAAATTTCATTTAATAAAGGAGTCCAGGAATACTCATCTTTCTTATTTTGATTAACTGGGCTTCATACAAGACCCAGGAGATAACTCTCTGCACACACTGGTACTGTTTACGTCCAAAGTCCTGCAAAAAATGGGTAAGTCCAAACAGCCCCACTTACAGCCCTTAGGAATGAAAGCCCTTAAAAAGCATGAAGTCCCTCAAGCATTTTATGCAAAATTGGGAAGCCAAATCTAGATGTAGGCACTGAAGTTAAAGCATTGAAACTATAAGGGTTGAATGCCCACAGCTTTGGCTGGCCCTCACGGGAATTCAGAGGATCAGGCCTGACATTTCTAAACCATCATCACCAATAAATCAGGTTTGACTATTTTCACAGAGAGCCAGCAGAGCTGATGGGAAGCGACTGCCATCACGCATTTCAGACACATCTCTTTGGACAATCTAAATTGTTTATCTTCTTTGCAAGGATAGTGTAATTGATTCTGCGCTGGTCACTCATGACAGCAGAGTAAACTAAATGCAGGTTGCCCTAGGACTGAGATAATGCATTCCTGGCAGTGCATGATTTGGCATTTGAACCAGTGGGAAAAACAGCCTTCTCTTCACCATCCTCCCTCCCCTTTGCTCTACCCTATTGCAGCCGTTGCTGCAAACAAACAACAACATTGTCAAGATCCAAGGAGTTGTCAGTTTACATCAGAAGGAAGGCGGTGACACGACATGTCACATTACAGCACAGACGCTCCAGCTGGCTGTAGAGCTGTCATCATTAGCAGCAAGACACCATTGGGAGCCGGTGTAGAGGGAAGTCGGTGTAGACACGCATTTGCTCGTTATGGGTCTCTGTTTGAGATTCTGGAGCACAACTGACTGTCATACCTGATGTAACATGTCATGTGCCATTTGCGCATCCCAGGGTATCTGATTTCATGAGTATGTTTTCTTTTCTGCTTCTGCACAACCAAATGCAATTAAAACCCCGGTATGCTTCTTGATGAAGCAGCTCAAGCAAATTCAGGAAGGAAAAAAGAAGTCCTAGGGTAGCCAAGCAGTCTTTGGGCACGTCAACCCTTTGTCACCCACTCTTAGAAGTACTCAAACTACCCGCAGGCAAGCTAGTATGACCAGCACCACTCTGTGAACAGAGCTCCAGCATCAGAACCCAGATAGCTACAGCAACAAGGTGCTGTCCAGCCCCATGAGCTCTGTCTCCTCAGGAGCCACTGAATGAGAATACATTTCTATGCTTAGAAGTCAATCCAAAATATCCTGTCCCAGCTCTGAGCCTGTAATGGCTCATTCTGTGGCTTGATAAAGTTGAAAGATACTGCTTGACTCCCTGAAAAGCTGAGATTGCTGCCTCCTGGGGTAGCCATCATACAGGAACACACACAGCCCGCGACTGGTGGACCAACACAAAATACAAAACCTCCTTGCTGGAAAGCACAGGTATAGTTTTTATCTAGCAGGCTATGTGGATATAAGGTATGTGCCAGCAGGCTGGCTGCCGTGCTAAATAGATGGGAGGAGGAAACAGACACAGGAATGAATGGGTAGATGCGTCACGGGGGAAGGTAACAGAGATGGATATGCTCATTGCAGTATGATTAAGCTGCCTGGGGTCTCAGTGGATTGGGCTGTAGACACAGCTGACTATCAAGGACAAGAGATCCCTGCACTTGATGGTCAGTTAAACATTTTCCAGGCTGTGTCCCATTAGAAATAAGGACTGCAGCAGCCTTAAGAACTAGATATTGCTACTTTTGCACAAGGCGGATCCCCATACTCAGATGAGAAATCCCAACACAGTCCTATTTTGGATACTGCTAATAGGAACACTGCCTGTAAGCTCAAGTCCTTGCAGAATAGGACATTAAGATGGGGCATTACAACTTGAGTTCACAACTGCTGTGCACCTGTAGGAGTGCATTATCTGGTATTTGCTAGTACCAAGGTGTGGGAGCCTGGAATCAAAGAAAACCAGGTCATGGACGATGACTTATTTTTAATGAAAATCTGCATGCACGGGGATGACTTTGAGATTTCTATCCACAAAATTTCAATTGACAAACACAAAACCATGACTTTCCACATGGGTGAAAGAAGCAAATTAAAAACAGGATTTTCTGGTAGCTTTTCATTTGAAATTGCAATCCTTCTTTAGAAAAGCAGTTTCTGAGTATGCAGAATAAAAGGTTCTCAATTCTCTCCCTCAAACAGAGCACACATGAGCTTTCTGCACGGCCAAAGATCAAATACAATAACAATCAATAGTACCATATTTGACAGCCAATCATTTCAAATAAGCAAGAGAAATTTGCTTTTGTTTGAAAAGGAGTAACAGAGTTCAGTACAAAGGGTGAGTTTCACTGCATTTAACTTCAGTACTCAAAAAATCAAGGTGCCCAAGTTAGTCAATGGATGGAGCTGTCTTCAAAGAACTATTTGTTGACATCTGTCTTGAAGTGGGAAGAATTGCTCTTTGGAGAGACTCTGGAGAGAGCTAAGGTAAGACTTCCCTCTTTCAGAGAGACAATGGATGTTGAAATACATCTGAAGTGTAGTGCCCATTACATAAAGAAGACATAAATGGGTAAATTTTAAAGCTGGAAGGAGAAATTAAGTATTTTCTAGATACACAGTTTTCTTAAATGTTGTTTAGAGGAGAATTGAAGCATATATTCTAGAAAGGCCTCAAATCTTGACCTTAATCTCAGATCCCCTACTTAAAAATGTGTCCCTGCTATTTTGTTTGCACTTCTTTTCGTGCCATTTATTCTCACCAGGTTCTTCTGCATTAGAGTGACAGGCTCTATATTAAAAGCAGTAATATGCCTACATTTAGAAAGCCAGGAATTGAGTTAATTCAATAATAGCCAAGCTTATAGGAACAGCTTATCATAAAACTCAAGACTTCACTGAATAAACATAGCATTTTTCATCAAAATCTGGATGGCTGCTTGGAGAAAGACAATAGAAATGAACCATTCAGGTGAGTATTTAATTTCTTAAGTTGCTATAGAATGAATCAAATTATTCAATGAAGCAAAATGATAATTAGAAAAGTAACACTCTCACAAAAGAAAAAATCTTTTGTTCCTTTTTTTTTTTTTTTCCCCAGTCAGTTCCATTTTTGAAGCCTCACAAATAAAAGAGCACATGCTGAAGACTTACTTTGCTTTAAGTGTCTCCTCTTGGAAATTCCACTGAGGGTCTTCCACTAGCTGCAGTTCTCGTAAAACACTCCCTGGCTTGTAAGCTGCATTGATCACCATGCTGAGAACCTATTGAGAGACAAAACCAACAACACCGACGGGTTTAAAAGTAATCCTTGACCACACTGAATATGATCCCAGGTGCTGCACAGGCGGAGGCAGCTTACAGGTGCCAATTTAGGCCGAAGGCTGCACAGGGTTAGTGCTAGATGCAGTGAGAAGAGGTCCCAGATTGGATCAATGTGCCAAGCATATTGTAGAGGACGCATCAGTCTTATACGGTGACTGCATTAAATGCTGCTAGCTAACCCCCAAAATATCCTGTTAATCAGTAATTTTTCTTTTAGACAGACCCTCTCACCCAAAGCAGATTCCATACACTGCATCCATAGTGGCTCAATTTAATAAAAAATGTAAATACTTCTGATGGCTCAACCAGGTACAAAGTCATGTGTACCATTACACACTGAACACTGAAGGGGAAATTCACATACTTGAGGCCAGCAATATGCTTAAGCGTCTGAGTGCTGCGTGCCTTGACTGTATTAACAGAATATTAATGAAGTCTACACAAAAAGAGTTTGCAGGAGGTGTGCCTGAAACCCAGTGTGTGTCCACTCTGTGTACAACAAAACACATGCGCCAATCCATTTAATCCAAAGTCTCTGAGAATAAAAATTATTCTTACTATTGGCTCAGGGAATCCAAGCTTGAATAGTCTACACTTGGCCTAAGGAGGTAAATACAAGAAAAACAAACTCTTAACAGCACCAGACCATGCGTTTGAACACTCTGCATTGTATGCACATGAATGACCCCACAGTGAGTCTGGATTGGGTTTGATATAATTTAGCTCTTTACCTAGCGCCTGTTCTTAATTCTTTGGGGGCCTGCAAATGATTTCAGTATGATGAGCGTTAAGTTTCCCCAGCATCCATGAACATGGTTTATCAGAAATGAAAAACTAGGCCATATTGCAAAGAGCAATGTGTTTATGTTTGGGGTTTTTTTTGTTTTTAAATCCAGCAACCTGAGGATTTGCTAGCATTTTGAAAATCTTGTAGGATTAATCATTTTCATGCAAGGGCTTCACTTAATGCTGCAGAGTACCATGTAAAATGGCAGCGGTTTGAGTTGTTTGGCTAGAAGCAAAATCTGATTTATCATTGGGCTCTTGGAAACATTACTCGAATCGCTCTTCAAAAAAATGCAACTAGATACACCTAAAGCAATGACTAATAATAGCACCAACGTCTTATGCTGCTCTGATCATCTCCACATCTCAGAGCACTCTGTGAAGAAGGGCAGGAGCATACTCCCTATCTCACACAAGGGGAAACTACAACACAGATTCACCCACAGCTCTCCAGCTGCTTCCCATCTCATCACACAACCCACTATACTAGTCACTAAGCCATACTGATTCCCAAGAGAAACAAAGAAAGCTTCTGAGTGAGCCCATCCAGTTGCTCACCCACATCTTTTCTTTCCTGCATCTCACCATACAAACTGATGGGGCACTGGCCTCTGACACTGAGACCCGATGTAGGGAAGCCAAAGGTGGGTTTTCAAAATACATCAAGTGCCTGGGTAGCTCCCACGCTCACTCACAACTCATTAGATTATCTTGATTAGAAAATCCAGGGAGGTATTAAACACCTATGCGGGAGCTTGTTGGGAAAGCTCTCCTTAAACACACTTCTACACCCACCCTACTTGCTGGTGGGAAAGCTGGGAGCAGGAAGCAAGCATCTCTTGCTGACCAATTCCCACAAACAGTGCTGTCCTGCTTCTTTATCAGGGTGATGGCATTTGTATGAGTTGTCAAAACAGTGAGGAAATCAGCAAGAAAAGAAAATCCAACCCTGCAAACAACAGTGTCGCTACATCTGGGCATTATCCCAGACACCTAATCAACTCCAGCCCTGCAAAGCCCACAATACCAGGACTTTTCTGAAAGCTGGCTTGTCACCAGCAGGACTCTGTAAACTTCTAAACTCAGTTTAAAAAAAGAGTGTTTTGTAAGAACAATAATTTCCCTTTAAGGGAAGAAAAAATGTTTTGTAAAACCCCTGGCTTTTACTCTCCTTGTATCTTAAATAAGTCACTGGGTTTGGCATTTTACCCTACAGCAGAAGTTCATCACCATGTTAACAGTGTTACCTTCTAACAACATTATCGCTTCGTATTACACACTATTAAACACTAGGGAGAAACAAGAATACTGATTCTTGTGGAAAAATTAACTGTGATTAAAGCAAAAACAGTGAAACCTAGACTAGTTTCCAACTTTCCAGTTTCCAACTTTCTCTGGAGATGGAAAGTTACTTCACCCATATCAGACTGGTCAAATTTTGATCTGATTCACTAAATTCCCTTTGGCTGGAGTGTGACAAGTCTGAGACTTTGATAGTTTATTTCCAGCCCTCTCCATCAGGAATGGTTTAGATGCAGCCAGCAGTGTCTTGGAGCAGAGGGGTGGATTAGACACCACCAGCCTTTGTTGCTATGAATCTATGAAGTTTTATTTTGATACTGCTGAACTTTGGATTTTCAGAGTCAAGTAGGCTGGAATCACATCAGTGATCACACAGCACCACCACAAGCCTCTGCCCAACCTTATAAGCCCCTACATCTTAGCTATAAAGTCTTCCATGTCATAGATTTTCAAGTGCACAAGGGCCCTTTTCTCAGCATGCCTAGACATGCCTGATGCCACTGGGCAGATCAGCACCTCCCATCACAGCTTTCTGGTATTCACATATTTCCCATCTCTTCACCCCTCTTCATTAATGGTCCCAACCCCAGATGAAGCTTTCTCAGGAGGTATCACTGACAAGGCGCAGTTCAAAATATCATTACACCTCTTCTGCTGTTCAAGATCAGTATTCTTGTGAGGAGAAACTCAATTTCCTTCCTCTATCTGAGATGTGAGCCCACATCTCCTACCTAACAGGAGAGACCCTAACTCCCAGGCTAGCCTCAGCCAAGACAATAAAAAGTTATATTATTTTCCATAAAATAATGATGTGTCTGTGACACAGAGAGAGAAGGCAAAAAAAGAGATCTTTTGGATTCTTTCATTAGATGATAAAGCATCTAAAAGTGAGCTTTTGGCATAGTGAAGGTTGTAGCTCTTAAGTGCTGACATGCTTATGACAGTCCATAACATTTCAAAAATACAGATGGCCAGATTCTGAGTTAGAGGAACTACTACAGATGAGCCATAGATGTTAATGAACCTTCACCTAGAAATGTAGTTTATATCTTTCCAGACTACAGAAGGTTTCTGCTATTCCAACACCGTAGCTGACCACTAATGATAATGCTATCAGCCTGGCTCAGTACCTAAGGTTCAGTACAAGCTACTTAATTTTCTGAGCACCATGATTTAATTATGCAAATTTCTCGTAAGTAGTCATGCAGTGCTCCAAAAAATTCAAGTTGCAGAGTGCAATAGCCTTCCTTCACAAGTACTGGCTGATTTCTCCTGTTTGCATCAGTTGGACAGTGACATTACCTTTAAGTCCATTTCCTTTTTAAATAGAGAAAGACCAAAGTGTCATAAAAATAGTAAGAGCTGTAAACAATGAGGCTAATTAATCTTTACAGCATATTTCCCTAAGATATGGTGGGTTATAGATCATTTGAAGTCTTAAAAAGACACCTCATTTTGTTTTACAATGTTGCCGTGGTAAGTTGTTGGCATAGATGGAAGAACTGTTCAGAAGTATTTTTTAGATATTCTGACCTAAGAACTAAATCTAAAGCTGACAATGTGTTTAGTTTAATTTAACTTAAAGTTAGCATTTATTCCATATCTTAGCTACCATACAGTCACTATTTTTCAACCCAGATGCAGTTGTTGGATGACAACAGTGGATGTCTCCGTCATATTTGGCTCCAAGTTTTAACTTCTTTTCCAAACAAGTATCTCAGGAATGAGATAAGATTTGCAGCTGATGTTAAACAACAGGCATTACCATCTCACTTGCCTCTTGGGGTGAAAGAAACCATAATAAAACACTAGTCTCAGAAAAGACTTGTGCTGGCACCAGGAATAATAAACAGCTAGGATTTAAAAATAAGTTTGGCACTAGATAGCACAAGAGTTACTTGTCACTCACCTAAGGCTTTGCATTGATGCAAGGATACATGCACACAAACACACACAGAATTAAAATCAGTATTTTTGATCATACTACCAAATAAGTTGCAATCTCAAGATTTTGCTGGGAAATCTTGTTCAAGGGCTGCCATTCTGAAAGGCACGTTAGCAGTTTCCTCCCTGCGCAGCTCACAACTTCTGAATCAAACACTAGGACAAAGCAATTGGGCAGAAATCAGGGGGATGCAGTAACAAGGCAGAACTCAGCAGAAATCCCTGTTCTGTTGGAAAAGAGGTGCTGCTCAAAAGCAAACCTATCTGTGCTGCTTCTGTCCTGACACCTCGGGTAAGAAGAGCCTAGACTTCTCAAATGGAAAGAGATGCTCCTACTCTATGCCACAAGGGTAGATCCTAACCTTGTTTAATCCAGAGCCAAGCAGTACTGACCCACAGCTATCTCACTCTCAGCATGTGTGATGGTAGCACCAGCTTGCCTGGAGCTGGATCCAGGATGATGCTTCACTTCATCAGCGATGGAGGTAACGAAGGACAAGACCTTGGGAAAAAAGGGCTGAGGAGTATCATGAACGCTAGTTGTGCTGCATTTTTGTTACAACCCTCATGGTTGAGTGTGGAGGAAGGTAGAGGACGGGGGTACTCCCTCAGCACCCAGCCAGGAGCAAGGTCTCCCATCACCTGATGCTAGTGGGGAGAGGACATCTGCTCTCTTGTTGCTTTAGAAGTAATTCAGGCCAGGGAATGGAGTAGGAATTGGTTGTTCAGCTGGTTTAAGTCTGGGGTTTCCATCAGTGCCAAACACAGCAGCATCTCCGTCACGGAGACTGCTGCCCACTGTGAACCGGCTGGCAACTGGCACAGATTTTTAACTAGAGCATCTCTAAAGGCAGTGACTTATGGCTGGAGATGAGGGTGATTTAAAAAGTTCTCACCAGACTGCTATGATTCCATTCTTCCTTCATAGCTGTTGTTTTGAGTTGTCTTTCCCACCCTCCCCCGTGTGTTGCCAAAGTAAAGCCCATGTATAATTTATCTATTCCAGACAAGTTACGCTGATGCATAATTTACAATGGCCTGCAATTTTCCTATATAGTGAGGGAGATAATTATAATGCTTTTGCATTCTCAGGGCCACATCGTCAGTGGGTATAAAGCAAGACAAAGGCATCAAAGCTCAACACTAAGGCTCGGTTTGGAGGGATGGGAACTCTTGTGAGCTCTTCAGCTGTACAGAGCCTTGTGTCTATGGTCTTGGGCTGGAGGAGGTATCTCCTGCATATTCTCACCACTCAGCTCTGCAGTCCTTTTGGGTGCTCTGACAGCTGCTACAGATCTTCACCCCCATGCAGAGATGTCTTCCTTGACACTTCTCGACTTCTCCAGGTGCTGGATACCCCCTGCCCATGGTTCTCTGAGCTGTCAACACCACCTCTCTTATCCTGGCAGCAGCTGATAGGAACCAGGTGTATCTCCCCTACAGCAACACCCTGAATGTCTTCTCTTTACCCTTTCCAGAATTTGGACCCGGTCCCTGCGGCCAGAATGAGCTTAACTTTATCTGCAAAATAACACTGACCAATGCTGGGCTATTGCCATTGTCCTGCTCCCTGGGAAGTCATTCATGTCTCCAAAAGCAAGTTGCCTACATCTCATTGACACTGCTATTTGCCTCTGTAAGGAGGCAGAGCAAGAGAAAACAGGCGTTCTGTAGGACATTCAGGTTGGTTTCCACAATTGGTAGTTAGTCACACTCTTGAGGAATTTGGAGAAGCTGTGTTAGGCTATGCAGGAAAGCCCCAAGATACTAGGGGAGGACCTCGCAGAAGCTTTGCACTACTTATGTTTTCAAAACCCAAATTCCAGGAGGAAAGAAGGAAGAAAAATTAGCATAAGTATTGACTGTGCATGCCTCACGTTTCCCCCATGTTGATTTTTCATTGCCTGTTTTTGAAGCAGCGGCAGATTGCTAACGCTCCCCATCAGCAAGCCACTATGGACTTGCTTTCAAATTTGGCATCTGTCAACTTTTTCTCTAGAACCACTTTATCCTGCTTTCTGCTGAGGGCTATTTTTGACTTGCTTCTCCGAGACCCAAGTGTCCCACCTGCACAGGCAGGTGGATTACTGGGCTCTCTTCATAGCCCAACTTTCAACCATATGAGACAACCAGCAGTACTGTTGTGTACAGAGTAGTGCACATAGGTGATGAGGAAGTGAATGAGGACACAGGAGTCACTCTACACTACAGTACAGAGGTGTTTTCAAAAGTGGTGGGTGATCTGGGAGGAATCTCAACCTTTCAGCTGTTTCTGTTGAAGGCTGGGATTCATCTAATTTCAGACAACTGCAAATATCCTGAGCTGGGCACTGAAGGTATTGAAAATACATCAGACAAACAGAGACCTAGAAGTTCCCCTGCTTTTTCACCCAGGGCAGCAGGAGCTCAGATACGCCCCTGCATCTACATCAAGTGGGATTCATATAGGTGCAGTTCAGAAAGCTGGAATATTTGAATTTCTAGAAGACCCAAGTCAAATTGAAATGATGCTCAAGGCACCAAGAGCACTCTGCTTATCCAACAGTACCATCTTCATGTCCTCTCCCACCTGTAGTCACCTTGCCTCTCATCTGTATATGAACTGTAATCTGCACAGAAAACAATGACGCTTTTTTTTCAAACAGCAAGCACTCAACACTCGGGATTTGGCCCAGAGCAAGCACTGATTTGGTCAGGATGAAGTGAACAGCTGGTGGTGCTCTGCTATCCCTGCAGCATGGGATTAACCCATCCATATTCAGCAAGAGCTGGGCACCCCACAGCTTCCACTCAGCATATTGCACACACCCCTGCTTGGCCTTCTATTCCTGTCCACTTTGGATCCTCGTGGTTTGGGCCCCATCGGATCATGGTCACGCATACAAAGGTGTCACCCACACTGAATCTGCTGGCTCAATGGCATCGTGGATTCTGAGAAACAAGTTGACAGCAACAGTCACAAAGGTCCTCTTTGGGGATGGCTCTGGTCCATTAATTCATTTGCACAGTAGTGACAGTTAGATGAAACTTGGTCCCAACTAACAGAACTATCCATGTTTCAAAAATGTCATCTCTCCCATTAAAACCCCCAATGCATATACCTACCCTCTTTTCCCAGCTTGCACTTTTGACTTATGGAAACCATTGCAGAGCTCCAGGACAATTTTAGATGCCACCTTTTTAAATTCTAGGCCAGGCAACCCATGACCCATGTTTTCCCCTGAAGCCCCCCGCAAAAGATAGTTGAGCCATACCTCTTTGAGGACCAGCACGCACTTGCCAGGCCCGACAGACTGAGGTAGCTCTGCTATTCTGCCTTTGTTTAAATATGGACCTGAGAAGCAGCGGTGGTTGATGTAGAGCTGGGGGCAGCAGTATCTCCCATTGATGGTGCCTGCAAGGAGAAAGTAGCATTGATGTGCGTGTAGCACTTTTGTACAACAAATCAAGGGTGCTTGTTCTTCCTCCTAGACATGGGAAGGAGGGGAGATGAGTAAAGAAGGCACAAAGAAGTCTTCCCTGGGATAGGAGGTGGAGAAACCTTTGCTACTGGAATCCATCCAACATGAGAAAAGCAAGTGCTTTTGATAGCAACTGATTTGGCTGCACACCCTACTGAAAGGAGAATCAGGAAAGGACTTCATTCATAACATGACCCAAGGCTCTTTCATAACTTCCACTGCAGATCGACATGAGCAATTCAGACGAAACTTGCTAGAAAGGGAATATATTAGCTGCCTCTCACAAATACTGAATTGGCTCAGGGAGAAAATTCAGGTGGAGAGTTCTACAAACCCCATTCAGCTACTGTCCAAAACCAGTAAGCACTGCAGTGCCAGTCCCCTGACCCAACAAGGCTCTACAGAGCAGTTTACTTTGTCTGGGCTAATTACTCTGTGGTCCTTTATAGCCCATGGACAGAAGTGGGTACTTCTAGATGCAGTTCATGTGCCATCCAAGTGGTTATCCACTTTTTGGTTCTCATACCCAAACAGAGCTTGCTTCTCCCCATTTGACTGTAACGGGACCCTGGGATGTTGGCTCAGATGCCAACCTGTGTCCTGCAGTATACTGAAATAAAGTGAGTTAAATCCTGCCCCTCCTGCTGAGTCTATGCAATTAACTGGATGAATATTGCACACTCAGAGCCTCCTGCCATTGCTAAAGAGGAGAAAAATTTGCCTTTAGCAGAAGCAGCAGCCCTGCCACACAGTCATGATGCTAACACAGGGACACATTAAGTCCTGGGGTAAGCAATTTCACTGATGCCAATTAAAAAGTCGCATCCATCTTCACCAGGGCTTCATTAGCCCAGCCCTAACATCGTTAGCTGAAATGGGCAAGCTGCAGGGGAACTCCTATACCCCCAGCAAGACATGATGTTCACACGTGGAGGACCAGATCCTCACGTGCTGTACATCAGAGACTCCTCACACTCTTGGTGGGGTCCACACCACCTCACACCCTCTGAGGATGTGGTCCCGTCTCCCCACCCGTATGACACAGTCCCTTTTTGGGGTCATCCCCCTCCATACAGGCAATGAGTCCTTGAAATAAGGATCCTGCTGGTGCTGAGCAGCCTTACCTGTTGTGTCTGGCTGAGGAACTGGGCAGAGGTCATGAGGTATTTTCTCAACAGGCACTGTGGATGGTAACCTGTTAAACAGCAATTCAGTGTATTTAATAGTGTCAGACAGTGCAAAGGAGCAGAACCAGCCTTCAGGCTGGACCAAGAGCACCTGCCTGGAGCAAGGAATGGAGATACCTCAAACGCAACCCTCCTTCCACATGGTTTATGCCCAGGGCCAGCATACTGCAGAAGGAGGAGTCAGATCCACCCCTCCTCCAAAAATAAACTCTGGTCTGTGAGCTTTAGCCCTTCAGGCTGCAATTATTCACACTTAAATCCCTTAAATTCTAGTTTCTAGAAACTGCAAGGGCTAGATAGAGAAATGTCCTCCTGGTACGTGTTCGACTTCCATAAGCATCCCTTACTGGCCATCAGACACTGGCTACACAGTCCCAGCTAGTAAAATATTTCTATTGCAAAGACTTTCTTGTATGTCTACAAATATTTTAGATTTAAAAGAATCCCCTTGCAGACTCTGCTGCAGTATCTGGGCAGTAGTTAGTAAAGTCACTCAGCTGCTGTGTATTATCTCCCCTGGAAAACCTGATGCATCCCTGTAAAAATATCACCTTAAATAATAAAAACTTACTGCTTTTCTGGTTGGACAACTGCAATTCTTCTCTTCCTTCGCACTGCAAAAATGAAGCAAGGAAGAAAAAAATAGTTTTGCACCCTTCTGTCCTATAAAGTATACCCATAACGCATAAAAAGCTGTATAAATGCGCTGACTATAAAATGACTTCTAACACAATGAAATGGTACTTAATTACTATCGCCATCTTTTCTTGGTATTTTTAAGTAAGTCACTACATCATTAAAACCTACTTTAAAGATGTAATAATACATTTAATCTTTCCTCTGGAATGCTAATATCGTGTTTTATGGGATCAGTATGAAGAAAAATTAAAATAAAAACACAAATATTTTTCCGTACAGAAACACATATGGATAAGATTACATTTTACAAGCATGATTACCTCCAACATAATTTATCCCTAGCTATAAATTGCAATAAGGCTGCATAATGTTGCCATAGCAGTATTCTCCCAAATTAGGCCCCGGCTGCCTGATTTTTAGCTTAAGCATATTTAACTCTTCAAAAGGGTTGACACATTTTAAAATTTGCCTTTCAGATGTTAATTAATATAAACAGAGAGGCTAATTTTTCATCTGGTGGCTTGAGATCTGGTTGGATAGTTTCTGTGAGGAACAGGAGAACAACACCAAGCCACAGAGCACTCATGAACTGCCTTCAAATGCAAATGGAAGGTTAAGAAACTGGTCTTAATATGCACTGGAGGCAGGACAAAACACTAAAGGTTTAATTGTGCTGGGAGAGATTTAAATTAAACACTAGGGAAATCTCTAAGCTGATAAGGGCAGTGAAATAAAGGGATAAATACCCTGCGAAGGGGCAGAAACTCCATCACTGGAGGCCTGCAAACATTTCTCAATTTAGATGAAGCAGGTTCTGTTTCAGATGGGGAGCACCTGGATGGCCTCTTTATGTCCACTCCCCCCCTATATTTTATGGGGTTTTTTTCCAATTTGTGGTCCTGTGTCCCTAATTCACTCAGCTGCCTGAGTGAACTTGGCTCAGCGCAATGAAACCTGGTTTCACTCCGACAACCCCACTGCAAACCCACAAGCCACACTCTGCAATTCCCAAACCACGTAACGGCCTTTCCCAGTGCAAACAATCCCATTTTTAGGCAGACCGATCACACAGGCAAGTAAAAAATTGCATAACACCAGTGTTGTGGAGACTGGTCACTAATTTGATTTATTACTATTTATTAAAGTGCACTTACAGCCTGGTTACCAGTCTGCTAGTTAGATTGGTAGTTTCAAGAACTGGAATACAGGCATAAGACAAATTCCCTGATAAATCCGTGATGTAATATCTATGCTGTTTGAGGTTTCCATGTACTTACAAACAGCTTTATGTGGTGGAGTTAGGTTATAAGCATTTGCTTCACACCAGCCAACGGGAAAAATGTCCATAGACTCTACATCAACTATGTACTCTGGAGAGGGCATCTGTAAACCTATAAACACAAATTTATAATGTAATTTAGACACGGGAATACCAAGCTCAGAGCCATTCGAGCATTCATCATGAACCAAGGGAAGCAAATGATGGAACACATAAAAATAAATCTGCTCCCCTGCATCAAAATCAGGCATCATTTCGTCTTCAATTTTGCACAGACAGTATGATAAGGCTGTTGCCTTTACAGTGCAATGTGATTCCAGAGAAAACCCTCATTAAGAGCACTTTAAGAGTGTACAGTGAAGCAGCCAGAAGTAAGGTTAAACAGGCATGACTTTCCCCAACAAGACAGCCTAATTGCCCCCTTGGTGTTTTGTAGAGCTGCACAAGGAAGGTAGCAGAAGGCCAGCCAGGTGCTTGCTCTTACTGGTAAGAGAGTGTTAACAGGATGGTAGCTGATGTGACAGGCCTTTATGCCCCAATGCCCACCACCCCACCACCACCTGCCTCCCCCAGAGTTTTTTTGTGTAGTTCTGCCCTTGAACCACTGGTTTTAAGGGTTGGAGATGGCCACTCTTCTGTCTACAGGTGCCACGAATTCTCCTAGGGCTCCTCACTACAACATGACCTGATCACCCAACAGGGGAAAGGCAGTATAGAAACCTCAAGTGGGACAGATGTGCTATGATCTCTGGCATAACAGATGCCAAATTCCCACTGAAAAATCTCTAGTTAAAGCAAATCTCTTCCAGTTTGGTTATTATGTCTCCTTTAGACTACACTCTCCTGTCTTGGTTTATGTGGGTTGCACTCAAAGCCCACTGCAGCAAATGGAAACATTCCCACTGAGATCTTCTGAAAACAGCTCTGGGTCCTGAGTCAAGACACCATTTAATTACTCCAAGTCAAGTCTGTCTGCACTGGCACAGCCTGGCCAGCAAGTTGACCCCCTCTGCCATTTCCACCTTAGGTCCTAGAGCTCCAGCACCAGCATGAGATGATCTCCCAACAAAAGAGACCAAAGGATCAGCAACTTCCCCTGCAGCATCCTCACCTTTGCATCTGTTACAGCATCTTTGCCTCCTGCTTAATGCAGCAGTGTTTGACTGTGCACAGCTAGATGACTACGGGGAACTTCCCACTAATGAATGTTCATCAAGGGCTTGCAGTGTAATTGAAACAGTAATTGAACTTTGTGATAGGAATGGCATCGAGGCCGAGACACAGCATTTGGATCAATCTTGTCTCTAGTAATAAACTTGCTGCATTTTGAGAGAGTATGGTTGTATGAAAACCCAAAGGAAGCTGGAAAATAGGTGCGGGTGCTCACATTGCTGGAGGAAATAATTAAAAAAATGAAATCATGATGTCTGCATAGATTCATGGATGTCTTCATGGTATTCCTCTGAGCCCTGCATCATGTTCACAGATCATACAATGAAGATACAGGCTCTATTCACCAGCGTACTGGGAAGGGAAGAGGATGATGGGATGAAGGCACATGATAGAGGACACAACCTACTCATATGAGAAGCTGATCCTCAATGCGAGGTCTCAGCAGCTGGCATTCCCTGCACAACCATTCCCCTCCACAAGGAAATACCAAGAGGTCACTGTTCAGTTTGAACCTGACAGAAGCTGGGGCAAAACATTTTCACCTAATGCCACAACTCAAGCCAAGAAAGTGATGTGAGAAGTCAGTGGCAAGACATGCATGAAATGAGCAAGCCATAGATCAAACCTTAAAACAGAGCAAGAGATCAACAGTCCCCACTGAAATTTCACCAGATCTGGGAAAATCCACTATTTTCATTACTGTAACTGTTCTACAGCATTGTTCTGACCCAGTAAACAGATCAAATGTACTTTCCTGCTTGTAAACAACAGTAAGTGTGCCAGGAAAATTTTGTTTTTAATGTTTACAGCTGCAGCCACCCTGCTGAGCAAGGAAGCACCGTAACGTCTGTTCTCCTGCAACACCGCTACTCCTCTTGTAAGCCATATTCACAGCTACTCCGTCCTGCCTGGCACTGCTTCCTCCCTCTGGCAACTGATAACCCTGCCTTCCATTTCTGACATCTTACTGCTTCGTTTGGCCTCACTCATGTAAGTGGAAAACAGCTTGTTTGAGACTCATTAGTTTCATTTGCTGCATTTTATGCTGCCATCTTCTCAGACTAAGAAATGTCCATGAGATTTGAGAGGTTAAATGGAAAAGAAGAGAACAGGGAGATTGGAGATAAGGTGAGGAAAACTTTCATCTCTTGCTATGAATCTTACAGGATGGGCAGAATAGAGCAGCAACTCTAGAAAACTCTCAAAGGGAAAATTATGGAAAACCTCCCTGGAGAAGTGATTAACAAAAGGGTGTTCCTTAAATTCCTAGGCTGTGCAGAGAGTGTACATTATTACTTGTATAAATTCACACCAGAAAGCTTCAGCTTTAAAATCTAAAATGAACCAGTAAAAATTAACAATGCAGATGATGAGTAATAAAGTAGCAGAAAGTGATGGGATGCGCACAGCCTCGGATCAGCCCTATGCTTCTTTTCCACCACAGGGGAACGATACTGCTGCTCATTAAATGCTCGCCCTGAAGTTTACAGAGTTTTGCTACTGTACAAAGCGTGATTTATTAAGCAATGTTCCCTCATGTCTAACTCGACACTGCTTAACTACTGCGTCCTGTTTTATGGCTGCAGTTTAGGCTGTCAAACAGCGAAACTGGGAGGGCAACAATGAAAGCTTCAGACGTGCCCATGATAAATGGTGGGACCCGAGGTCTTCAGCAATGGGCTCCCATGGTAGTTGGGGAGTCTTGCTGCTACCGGAACATAAATAATCAGTTAGAAACAATAGTGTATTAATGGAGTCAAAAAAACATGCCACAGTTCAAGCCACATTTATTTTACAACTCTGCAAGCAGGGTTTTGTGTTTTTTTTAATGCCTAGTTTTAGCCTAACACTGTGCATACTGTCATCATGTATTTCAACAGCGGCAAAGATTTCTTTTTTATTTTTGCAGTCTTTTGCATCTTTTGCTTTTACTACAGATCATTCTATTCCTGGTATTGAGATATAAAACAAGCATAAAGCTCTATATATCAGAACTCAAAAGACAAGGAGATGCACACAGGGTTTTTATGACAAGTTGTAAAAAACATCCTTTAAGAAATTAAGAAAAGAGTAAAAGCAGGGAGAAAGAGATGAGGGAGGGGAGCAAGGTGGGAGTGTGTGGCCTTCTCCCTGCCTTTATCCAGGGTCTCAGAGGATTAGTTGATTTAAAGACCCAAGCACTTCCTATTCACTATAAGGGGCAAGAGTTTAGTGAACACTGAGTCGTTTTGGAAGTACTACAGCTTAGGGAAAAAACAACAAAAGGATTCCCAAACCCCATAAAATCTGCATATAAAAGTGAAGGCACCTGACCATTTGAAAAAAAGGAGTTGCCAAAATGGGCCAGGTTCCTTGACCAGATGGGTGTAAACTCAACAACAGCCTTAGTGAGAACTGAATTTCAAACAAGCATTAATTCCAGCTCTTTAACAAAAATACTTGTCCGTGTCCAGACAAGGCTTCAGATGAGCTTTTGCTACCTCGAGTCAGAAGGCAACTCTAACCTGGAACCCAGCACAAGCTTCGTTTCTCCCCATCCCTTCTTCCTCCAGGAGACTGGGATACCAACAACATGCACTGCTCCCTGAGCTGCAGAAAATGACTGCGCCTTGCCTTCCTCCCAGCTCACTACGACAACATGCCATTGTATCTCTTGGAGTTGTGAGCATATGATGGCCATGGTGAGGCCATATATTGCCCAAGTTTTATGGACCTAAGTAAAAAAAAAAAAGGAAAGGAAGGAGGGAGAGGAAGGAGGGAGAGGAAGGAGGGAGAGGAAGGGGATCCCATGAGACCGTGCTGGGAATCACAGTGGAAGTCTCAGCCGCACAAGTGAGGCAAACATCCATTCCCAGGATAGAGGTCTATCATAATGGTGGTGAGGAGGTTTCTGTCATCAATGGAGATCACACTGATAGAGTCCACATGGATGTGAGGGTGGAAGGTCTTCTGGCTCCCTCAGGGAGAGGGCAGGGAAAGATAATTCTTTATAACATATTATTGGTCAATGCGTATAAAAACAAAAGGCTGGACAAAGCAGTTTTGTGCAGAGGATTAAGTACTCTCTTAATTTTGTCCTTGAGTGAACCAGACAAACACAAGAAGCCTTTACAGCACATACCTTCAAGATGAAGCCACATTAACCGTCCTTTAACTGAGGTGATAGAAGCGACACATATCTCTGCAGGGTTCCTGGGGTTCACTGCTTCCAGCTTCATGTTCTTAGTAAAGCCACGGCTGAAGGATGTCTGAAAGAGTCAAGGACCAACACTGAAGCATGCAGCCCTGCATGACTTCAGTTATTCTGTACACTGGAAAGTATAAATTTAGCATGGTTTGCTTTTCACTGGAAGAGCAGGATACGCAGAAGAACACAAAGGCATACGACTCAAAACAGAGCTGCCCTGGACACACATATGAAAAAACAATGATGGGAACAAATCAGGAAGCAATATATTTCATGGTTTACTCCAATCCCTAATTCTCAGAGACTGGGAGGAGGTTACTCCACACCAGCTCTGAGTATATTTGAGTGCTTGCTAGTGATGCATTTGCTGGCCACTGTTGGTGACAAGATACTACACAGAGAGTTCTCAGATCTGGTGCGCTTGAGAATGTCTCACCTTGCTAGGAGAAACCTTCTAAAGTAAATAACCCATCTTGCCTGAGACCAGAGAACCTTCACACATTTAGTTGCCCAGGCTGACTGAGGCTGGAGAAATCTGAGGAACCTATTCAAGTACGTTTTTCTCCATGGAGCATTTTAGGCTCAATGTACAAGGTCCTTCTCTGTAGACTTCAGGTACATAAGTTCATGGGTTGCAGGTAGGTGTAGATGGAGCCAGGCCAGGTATTACAGCAACAATCCCCAAACGAGCAGTCATCATCCCAAATAAGAAACGTCGGACCAAAATGTGGGTTCATGATCTTGCAAGAATGCAGCATCCCCTATTGTACTAAGGGCTTGGGACCCTGTGAGAAGCTGCAGTTCAAGTCATTCAGGTACCACTGCTGCAGGCTAATGTGTGCCTTGGCAAACTGCTTCTGAGGTTGGCCTGGCCATGTGGTAGCAGCAGGCTGTTGACCAGTCCCTCCTGCTCCTGCAAGAGCCAGGATGGCTCAGTCCTAACATAATAAACCACAGCTCCTGTTTGTAGCTGTTGCAGGTGATCCCAAGTGCAGAGGGATCCCAAGACCCTAAAACCTTCTCCAAAACCTTCCCCACAAGCTGAACCTCATGCTACTCCTCACCCACTGTCATCCTTACCCTCTGTCCCTTTCAGTGTCCCTTCTCCTTTCATTTAAGCTCAATCCCTTCCCAACATCCCCACCACTACTATCCCTAAAAACACACTGATGCACACCTATCGCCATGCCATGGCTTCTTTTCTTTGCATTTTCCTCCCCTCTGTCCCACCCATTCTGCACCAGTTCAGCTGTGAGCGCTTGTATGTCTCTGTTGGCACACACTAGCACAAAAAGGTTCCCCCACTTGGCTGACATTTTGGCTAATAATAATTACAACGGGTAATCATTGTCACTGACTCAAAATTACACCAATTTCTCTTCCAGCAAGTGGAAGCCAGACTCAAATTCAATCCTTCTGCTATTTGTACAGCACCTAGCACAATGGACAATTCACCTCAAACAATCACTGGGAGCTCTTTGTGAGGCTAAAAACTTCTGGATTTGGTCTCTTTTTTTTTTTTTTTTTTTTTCATCAAGAAGACTTCCAAGAACGTGCTGCTAGTCTCAAACATTGCTTGGACCGTTGCAAGCCTTGCTCAGCACACAGATCAGCCTCACTCTCTAAAAGCTGCCAATGGCCATGACTGCGGAAAAGCAGGGTGAGTTTGTTTAAATGCCTTTTATGTTGCCTAACAAGGAAACGTCATTTATCATCACACCGGCTCCTTTCATTGCAATTCGGTGCTGGAGGCTAATTTATACAGAATCAATGGCAAAACAGTTAGCTGGGAGTTTATTTTACTAAGCATTCGGTCATGTCAATCCATTTCATAACTGCCTCTCCTTGTTAAATATCCCCCCCCTGGGGAAACAGTTACAGCATATCCACTTCCAACACCACATCTGGCTGCACTAGGTGGAAGATGTGCTTGCAATACAGCTTCTATCAAAGAGACGCTCACGGCCACAAAACAAATGGACCGACCTGCCAGGGAGGTTGCACAAGCGACAACAGCAAGATTACATCTCTCTGCAGAGAGCTGTGTTATCGAGAATGAAAGAATAACAGACACATGTTCATTTGATGAATGTTTCCTTAAAAAAAAAAAAAAAAAGGAAAAAAAGTGCTCAGACCTGATTTAATCTTTGGAGGATATTACATAGAGACTATCCTGAAGGCTGTCAGTGTTGAGATCCATTACTTGACAAAACGAAGAGATATAAAGGGAGAGGGACTTGCAGAAGAGAAGAAATGCAACAACTGTCCCACTCTATTAGTGCAATTGTCCAGCTTCACTTGGCGCTTTCAGAAATTTTAGCTTAAAGTCCTCTGAGGCAGAGGGTTTTGCATTGGATAGCACAATAAATGGGGCAAAGAAATCCTAACTGTGATTTGATTCCCAGGTCAAACTCTGTTGATGATACAGGCCCTCTGAATTCATCAACAGAAAGTGTTCAAATTAATCTAGTCACCATCAAAAGGCTGTCCTTGGGCCACCACAGATGAGGAAGGCCACTTCACAGCCTCCAACATGCCATGCAAAACCACGACTGGTGTCTTGTGAGATGATCTCAATTCTGCTTTTCATAAACATCCTGTCCCCCAGTCTCATGACTGCTGAGTACAGTGAAAAGCTATGTAACTCCCAGAGGAACCTGCTTGTCCACTGTTCACAACACCGCTTTATTTTGCAAACCCTTCTGTGCTCATTTTAGGTGCCACAATGTTTTCAGTTATTCATTGGATCTCAGCTTCCATCAATTGATGGGAGCATGAAGAAGAGCACCAGCTTATTGGAAAAGCCAGAAGGCTACATCTGCCTTTCACCAAGCGACGAACACCTCTTGGATCAAGCCACGTCAAACTGCCATTGCCATAAAACAGCCTGCAAAAGACTATTTCCAAAGCTCTGAATCTTGATGGCCTCCAGCTTAACGATATACTGCTCACTCTCACATCGCTGTTGCTGTATCAAGAAGCCCATTAACTATCCCAAAGTCCCCAGCATCCATGTGGGTTAATCACTCTTCTCACATTCTAAGCTCAACAGTTTCAGCCTTAGCTTTTAAATGCATTTGTTTTGGTTAAATGTGTCCCCCTGGGAACCAGAGAACACAACCAAAATGTGAAGAGGACCAGATGACATAATGCATTTTTTTTTTACCCAGTTTATTTTTTTTAATAGCACTTGAATTACTTGCAATGGCCAGTTGAGATCTCTCTTGTGCTAGGTGCTGTACAAAATCAGAGAGGAGAAGAGCAGGAATTCTAAATGAATCAAATACAAGAGTAAGATAAGATTTTTTTCTCTTTTAAGGATGGAGACCTGAAACACTTCTCCAGCTTCCTTCCTAAGACAGACTTATGGGGGGTCTGGGGGACCCTCCCAAAGCCTTGCTGCCGCTTTTCTGTGCAAGCTATTTTGTTTCACATGGATCAACAGGAGCGACACAAAGGCAAGAAGAGAACTTACGTTTCTAAAGCACAAGTGAGGCGCTGCCTCCGCTCCACACTGCTTCTGGTAGTCTGCCCAGTCAAAGTCCTGGCCAGAGTAACCTGCAGGATGACAAAACAGAAAGTGCCATCAGCCACTGCTTCACATCAGACAGAGAGCACAAAATGGGCCCCAAGCAGATGACCATTTGTGTCTCAGCATCCCATCCCACCTCAGTGGACTGCGCACTATCAGCAGGCAAGTTCTCTGGATGCCTGTTTATACACCATGAGAGCCAATGCCAAAGCTTCTCCAGCCCCCACTCACACACCTTCTGCATTTCGCTTTCAGAACTCCAGGTCTCAAAATAGTAATAAAACATATTTATTTTCTTTATTTTCCTTTTCTTGAGAGCATCTCCCAGGCTTTAATAAACCCGTAACTACCAAGAAGTGCTACTGTTCCCAGCTTCCAGGTAGGGCTAGTCATGGACTTCTTTCTCCTTTCTTTAGGTATCTAGAAGATGGGTTTATGGAGCTGGACATCAGGGGTCCCTCAGCAGTGGACAGGGAGAGGATCAGCACAATCAGAAGCTGATCCATCCTCTCTTTTGAAGCATGAGATAAATTCTCCTCTCTCTTCAGTGATATGGATGTACCTCCGTGACTGACTTCCCATCACCTCAGTGTATGTGAGCTGAATCTCATCATAGCAAGCATGTTATCCAAAGTTGTATAGAAATCTGGAGCAGAGCAGGAAAATGAACACAGATTTCCCAGCTCCCAGACTAAAGTCTCAGCAACTAGATGATCCCTTCAGCCTCTGCTTCTGGGGAAAAAGGGAAGCAACACTGATTTATATGAGCATCTCTCAAATAGTCCCATCACACAGAGACAAAACAAATCTCTGCTCATCCATTCTTCTTACCTGGCTATTTAGGCAATAAACTCTTGAGATGGAGAGGGGAGATTTATTTGCTTTTTGGGTTTTTTTTTTTTTTTTGGGGGGGGGGTTGTCTGCCTCTTAGTCTATATTTTTTACAGTGCTTGAAACCAATGAGCACTAATCCTGACCAGGGCCCTGTGACAATACTGTTGATACTCTAATAACATTATTGCAGAACTACTCTCACTAGAAAGTTTCAGGAGTCACCTAAAGGCACAATTCTCCCCTCAGTCTCCCTGCCTGGCATCTCAGCCTGGCCTCATTTCACAGAACATCCCTTAATGCCTTTTTCATTGATAGTCAAAAAGGGGCAGTCAAGATCAGATAGGAATGAATCATTTATGACAATAAAAATTGTGAATTTTTTTGTAGGCAAGAAAAGACTGGAATACTGAGTGGAGTCACCTACCAGTCACCTAGATCCAAAAAAGGAGGTAAAATTTTTGAAAAGGAAGTCCCAAGCATCCTGCTAAGATGCAAGTATCTAGAAGATGAACTTCTAATCCTAACGATTGCATACATGACAAACAAATTAATGAGATAAAGCCTTGAGCAGAGAGGGTCCTAAGATGCCTGTCTCTGTGGGGCATGAAAGTACATAATAATTGGAAAGCTAGAAATAAACATGCACAGGGAAGTAAAAAAGGACAATTACTTATAGAGAATGTTCATTATTCATACAAAAAAAAAAAAATCCTTGCACTGTTTTCCCATACATTAACAACCAATTTCTGCAGAAGTATTTTCTTCCTGCTTCTTCTCTATCTCCTTTTTTTTCCTCCAGTTATTTGTTTGCCAGATACTTTTCAGCTTCATAAAATGAAATGGAAAACAGGAGGAGAAGTGCACATCACTTCACGTCAGAAGGGGATTCATCTGATTGCAGACAGATGTTTGCAGTGGAGATGCCTATAGCTGCGCCTGTCACCCTGACTTCCCTCAAAAGTCAACAGACAAATAGGTAGATCTAGAGGTCATCTGTCTGTCCTCCTGCAGAAGGAGGAGATTCCCCCTGTGAAAGTCCTTCTCACTGTCCGTGGACTCCAGAAGGAGTTGGGTGATGGGCTCAGCCACAGCATGGTTGTATACATTAAATAACCACGGTCCACCCCAGTTGCCAAAGCACATTGCCTTCAGGGATCCAAAAGCCTGCCCACACCCTGCACGTTCTCTCATCTCCAATTCAAACTCCTTGTGGACAGGTTCTAAATCTTAACTGCGAGCTACACAACGTCTTGGCAGAGTTGATGGAAAAGTCACATTGACAAGGTTTCAGTGAGGTATGAAAACTTGACTGTGTTGTCACTGCACAACCACCTGTTGGCTTGGCCTTGCAACACTGAGATCGCTGGGAGACCTTCTGCTGGAG